GAGTAGCCAGGACACTGGCAGAACAAGGCAAGAAGGTAGAAAAGCAAGAGTGGGCTGTCTTAACTCTGTGAGATGATTTTCCATTTAAATAACGAGGTTTGGCGTCTGGGCATAAGCAAGGCACAGTCGGGGTAATTTTTAAAAATAATAAAAAGAAAACTCATTGCTATTTTTGAAGAGGGTGGTTTTCAACATTTTCAGAACTGTTCAGCCAGGCATAGTGGCTTGCATCTGTAATCCCAGCACTCATGAGGCTGAGGCAGGAGGGTTGCCCAGAGTTCAACACCAGCCTGGGCTATACAGTGAGTTCAAGGCCAGCCTGAACCACATAGTGAGAACCTGTCTCAAAAACAACCAGAACAGCAACAAAAAAGAACTGCTCTTACTCAATTTCAGCATATGAAAACTAACAGGGTTGAGACCTATTAACTTAGAAACATTACACTTCAGGGAAGGTCAAGTTTGAAAAACCAATATGCAGCTAGTCAGCCAGTTTTTCTCTGGGGAACCCATCATTCCCCTCATTCCTGTGTCTTGTCCCATGAGGAACTGGAAATTTGCAAACTGATTTATACAAATCTCTCTGCTGAGGAAATAACACAAAGTGTTTTATGTTCCTAATGTTATGTCATTAGAGCCAATGGTGTATTCAGAGGCAAGCATATTTTCCTACTTCATTCAATGCACTCAAAATAAGACTACACATAAGAAGTTTGAGAATTAATTTGTTGTGCTTTTCTTCAAAAAAATCACAAAACACAGATCCAAGTTAACAACCATGAACAGAAGATGAAAATCTAACAAGGAAATGCAACAATGAAAGTTAATAAAAACAAAACAAAACAATACTGGGTTTACATTTTATTCAAAGGATAAAAAAGTTTAAAAAGCAAGAGATAAAATTCAAAGCAAATATGCTCGATACTTCAAGACAATTCTACATACAAAACATAACAGGGCTTTTTTTTAAGCCAAGTCAAACTGGCTGGACACAGTCAGGTCTAACAGAAAGACACTCAGGTACAATGCCATTCTATTTATATTGCCTAAGTCTTTATTGTCTCAGACATTTTCCACCCCAGTAGGGGCATTCCTTAAAGACAACACATCAAGCCTTCTAATGGGTCCATCTCACATTGAACCTGACATCCTAAAACACTAATGGCTGATGCCATACTAGCATGAGGACCACAACGTCACCTAAAAGGGAGCTACTGGCAGAAATGAACTATAGCCCTCTGATCCATCTAAGCCTCTGCAGCCTATACACTGCATGACAATCTAGTACTATGAATGGATATCAACCTTTGGGTCTCACACTTTGGAAAATGTAAGTTAAGAACAAAGCAGTTTGTCAGTAAGCAATGCTGTTTCCTTCATTTCCTCTTTAGGTATAATGGATGTGAAATTCTCAGTATTACACGCTTGAGAATCCTCACAGTCCTCCCAAGATCCCACCACATGTGCCTCCACTCAAAACATACAAAGCCGACAGAGGTAAAATTAACTCCTAAAGACCCCGAGAATATACAACAGCTGTTAAATTTTTATATGTTTATGAGTTTCATTATATAACTTGTTTGGTAGTTTTGGTTTTTGAATTGCAAAATGCTTCTAAATCATTCAATATCTGCCAGAAATTAAAAACATGAAAATATGTTACTTATTTTCATCCTAACACACACTTTTAAATTTTATACATATAGATGCAAATTGATAAATAAATGGAAATAACTATAATTCACTCCAGTTATTTCTCTAATTATTTAAAAGCTGCATTTTTATTCCATATTTTCAATTACACATCCATACTTCATATTCAATCTCTTCTGAAACATAAAAAGGAAAATACGGTTACACTGCAGCATTCTCTATGAGAAAATACATCAGCAAAGGTTAGAACTTGGTGACGAATCATGTGCTATGAAGGACAATCTTAAAAGTAATCTGCTGCACACACGCTCACCTAGAAGAGAACGAGGAATTTACCTTCTTACATATATACTTCCTGGGAAGGATGAGCTGATTAAATGACTCTAATCCGACAATTTTTCTGTGTACTAGCACAACATTAGTTTTTATTTCCAGGGTACTTATTAAATTTGTAATGCTCCCATAGCACCTTTAAAACGGAAGCAGATTGCCTACAGATTAATCTGTACTTCTTTCCCATATCCAAAAAGTTTAAAGCATTTTTCTCTAAATGCCACTCGATGAAAAGTGGCCTTTTAATTTTTAGGGAAATTCTTTCTTGGCCTTTATTAAACACTCAGAGAACACTGAAGAAATTGAGAGAGATTGAGAAGAACTTAAAGTAACTGTTCAGGTGAAGTAAAGCTCAATTTTACATCAGAAGTGTAGCCCACGGGAAAAAATGATGCACACTGGTGAGGCAGTCTGAGGCTCTGCTGCAGAGGGAGAGCGCGGGAGTGAGACAGAGGAACAAGAGAGTCCAGAGACCCCACTGAGTGGACAGACAAAAAGCACATCTACTCATTCAGACCACCCGGGTCTAGGAGACTCCTGCAACACAGAGCAAGTGCTGTAAGCACTGGGGAAGGAGTCCAGCTTACTGTTTATAAAAGGATTCTGTAAAGGGAATCTCTGTTCTATAATTAACAGATTGCCAGGTACTGCTGAAACTTTAAACAGCCTTGCCACTCAACCATATATATTCTTCTTTTGCAACTAGCAATGCACTAGAAATTTGCTACAGATTATTACAAAAATTAAGGAAATTTGAGAAAGTATAGTACCTATCAAGTATGATATCAGGAAGAATACACGGCCATATCTAATGATCCTTTCCAAAACTACTGGGAATTTGGTGTGAAGACACGTGGTTTTTAATAATACTTAGGCTTATACTTATTTATAATTATTTTTAAAGCAACAGTAGTGAATAAAATTTTAGCATCAGAAATGTTTCTAATAACTAAAGTAAAATATTCGCTACACTCCTAGTACAGCAATCTTAAAAACAACTATATATGTATTCACTTCAAATATTGGCAAATTGTTCCAAAATGAAGTTCTCAGCAAGCTTTTGGTAATTTATTCACAGTTCTGGCTTAGAGTCACTACAGGTAACAAGAGGACAAAATAACCAACTGCCTCTGAACACCTTCACTTTAAAGAGCGCAAAACGGAAACAACGATTCTAACCTCCCCCACAAAGGATAATTTAAATACCAAAAGTTTTATTTAAGCAAAAACACGTACAACCACAGAACATTCAAAAAACTAACAGGGTCACTTCTATATTTATTCTGAAACCAGTGTAGAAAGCAAAGTAATTTGAGAATTTCCTAAGATGCTCTCATTAGCCATTACTTATGATTTATTATATAACATTCTGACACGAAGCTATTACAGACTTACAAGTTAATACGGCAAAACTTAACAATTTTGTGGCTTAACTATAATTTTAATTTTAACCCTGGACATTACTGTATTATCACTGTTCTACATTTAAGGATCTGTTTAAACTCATCAAGCTAGGATGATACTGCAATATTTACGAATAATGTGTAAATGTAGTTGGGGGAAGTGATTTATGGGTTAGAACTCCTCAACTTGAGACTCTAATCATAAAACAAAGCAACCTTAAATCTATTTCCATGGGGAAAACACTCTATGTGGTATTCTCATACACAAAATGTACTAAATGTGTGGATATTGTTAAACAAATACCTTTATCATTCTCTTTAATTTCTTTGGCCTCCCCAAATTCAGTGTGAACTATGATTATTTTTCAATAAATACTTCCCAAAGACATTGTGCTTTTTTAAAAAAAAATCACTTAAATTGTAGCTTACAATAAATAGGTAAGATCTGTCTTCCTCTTTTATTGCTATAGAATATCCTAACTGAAAAAAAGAGGGGGAGAAAAAAACTGATCCTCAAGGAACCTCAGGTATGTTAAAGCAAACACTTCAACTGGCTTTCTTTCTTTGAAGAGTAGTAGAAATAAATGTCAGAGGACTGTTACCTAAGAGCCAAAAACAGAATAAATTCAGGAGAAGAAACCTGGATTCAAAAAAGACGACAGTTTCATTTCAGAAGCAACCTGCTAAAACACTTAAAAGGTTTGTATTAGCTCTCTCAACCAACGGCCAATCTGTACATCACCCTGTGTCAGTTCCCTTTGAGGAGCAAGAATCTTTATTTCTCATCTTTGCTTATTAATGACTGCTGTCTTAGAGTACCATAGACAATGTATATACGTTTATAGCCTGCAAGGATGGCTTCCTGGACAAGTGCATTTCACTTATTATGAAATGATATGTCCCCAAAACTCGGACTATTACTTAAGTAAACAAATCCTCTCACTCACAGCATTAAAAACTCAGCTCACCTCCATCTTGCACTCTTCCCCTATGCCTTCCTGTGAACCTAGTCTTCACAAGGGACGAGGCGAGGCCGCGTGAGAGCAAAGTGACTTGGCTCTAAGCAGGTCATTTTCAATGCCTGCCTAAAAAAGGATCATGAGGTAACAATATGTGAGCGAATTTAAACTTTAAATGCGCTACAATATATTTTTATATAAAGAAATCTTTTTGCAGAGAATTTCTTTTGACAATTCAGATTTTTATAGCTTTTATTAAACTGATTTTAGCTTGCCTAATTATAGTATCTTTTTTGTATTAAGAATTACTCTAGCCAAGCGTGGTGGCACACGCCTGTAATCCCAGCATTTGGGAGGCAGAGACAGTAGGATCACCATGAACTCAAGGCCAGCCTTGGATACATACGTGAGTTCAGAGCTAGCGTGACCTGTATAGTGAGATCCTGTCTAAAAACAAAAAGAATTAATCTACAAAAGCATTTAAAAATCATTACATTAGGGCTGGGGATTTAGCTCAACAACAGCGCCTGCCTGGCAAGTGCAAGGTCATGAGTTCGATCCCCGGTACCAGAAAAAAAAAAAAAAAAAAAAAAAATCACTACATTAAATGGGATAGAAAACAAGAAGAAAAAGGGAAAAGAAACCATACTTATTTGGCAAATACAACTTTGTTCTTTATTTTGGTTTCTGATATTCGGTTTAGAACATACTCTAGCTTGGGGAGTGTGTGTGTGTGTATGTGTGTGTGCGCACATGCACGTGTGTGTGTGTAGGGATAGACTGGTCAATGGGTACAAAGTCACAGCCAGATGGAAGGAATGAGTTCTGGCATTCTATTACACAGACGGTTATTACAGTCAATAAGACTGAAGAGTGTAACTCAACATAGCTACAAGACAGGACTCATCACTAAGAAGTGATACATGTTTGAGATGATGGATAACCTAAGCATCCTGAGTTAATCATTCTATAATGTGTAAATGTAATGAGATACCACACTGTACCCGATAATGATACACAAAATTATGTCAATAAAATAATTTAAAAGAAACCTATACAATTCATGTGCATCAAATTCATGTGCCACAAATTTAGTGGAATAATTATTATACCAAACATAAGAAATGACATTATACACATACTAAAACTAGCAGGCTTTCACAAAATAATCTTAGAAACAATTAAAATAGATACGAATAGCAATAGTAGCCAAACAGATGTAAGTAATGATGTCATGTTATCTTTTAAAACAATTAGGTTTCTATGACCAAAATTGAAGGTCCTTCCATATTACCTCAAAATATGTCAATTCCTTCTCTAACCCTCAAACAGAAGCAGAATTCTGTGCTTTTCTTGCAGCAATAATAGCTATTACAAAACTTTAACCTCATCAAGAAGTTCACACATGAAAACAAATGACTGAGCTTAATAATTATGCTAAATATTTCACCTTCACAATTTAAAAGTGAAAAGTTTTGAAAGAAAAGGACTTAACCAAATTATAACCCCCTAACATATATTCTTCTATAGACCCCAAGATCTGGCCCGCAAAACTCTGTGAAAAAATTATTAATCACATTGGGGGTATCACATTATTTTAAATATTTTAATCCAAACTGTCAAATTGACACTAGCTGGCTGAATGCACACCAGTATCACTTTATGTCATCTTCATTCCTACATTAATTGCAAGAGGGGAACACAGAAAATACAGACAGAAAAAACACCTCAGAAGTAACACTAACTGATGCCATTCTTCATTAATAGCAGTATAAAGCATGTTATACTTCTGAGCTTAGCCCACTACACACATTTAGAGTCAAATGATCTTAGTCAAAGACTTGCTAATCTTCCAAGTAATTGCAATGAAGTTGCACGGTTGTGCTAAGGTTATTAGTGTTATGCAACAAGGGAGTAGAGGAAGTTAAATTAATTGCAGAAAATTCTTTCTTGAGACAAAATTGAAGAGAATACTTGTACCAGTACTGATTTGATAGCAGCTCTGTGTTGTGATTTCAAAAAAAAAAAGATAAAATATGTCCTTCAACAGTTATTTAAAAAATAAAAACTACAGCTACAAGGAAATAAAAACTACTTTTAGGAGACAAAAAACAAAACGGAGGATATCCAACACCCCATTTTCAAATTTAAAATCATACTGTTAGTTGTCCAAAGCAGTTCAAATTTAAAGTTTGTGCTATAAAACTGCATACATATGTTCTATTAAGAGTTGGATAACACCAACACACTACTATATTTTGTTTCCTAAACTATTTCCACTTACAGATAAAAGACAAATTTGAGAAACAAGGTTAACTAAACTTACACATAAATCCTACCAAGAAAAGTTTTTAGTCTTTAAATTTTACAGTTTGATCTAAAAATAAAACAGAAACAAGCTTCAAAATAAATCACAGTATCTTCTATTTATATATAACTTAGCAAAACCTTCAGTAAATGTCCAAGTATTAGCATACATTGTCACCAGCTTTAGATATTCCAATTAAATGAACCACTCTTTCATCGGTCTGAATGAATAGAAGCCTGGTAAAACAAATGCCAATGAGTTTAAAAACATAAAATCCTCCCAGACAGAAGGGAAGGACTCAGAAGTTCAATACCCAGTTCTTTAAGGAAAATGACTGCTAAAATCTTTCTGGATGCAGATTCTAATATAGATTTCATTATTCAAATTCCCCACATAGTACTGGAAAAATATGAGGCAATTTCACAAAAATCACAAATTTAGTGGAATAATTATAACTGACATATAAATAAAGATTTACTAAAAAAGGCTTCCAGGGGTGATATTTTAAATCAAAGTTTTAAATACAAAAGGTGTCTTGTGTTGCTTAATCATCCCAAATTTCCGATGCTCTTTACTCTACAGTTACAGATTTGGCTAGATTCCGCGGGAAATCAACCTGCAAAAAGAAGATTAACAGATTACACAGCTGTAGAGAAGAGAGCTTGCTATAAGTAAATTACTTTATTTAGAGCCAAGCTTGGTGGCCCACATCTATAGTCCCAGCTACCCAGAAGGCTATATACGTGAGAATCACTTCAGCCAGAAGTTCAAGGTCAGCCTTGGCAATATAGCGAGACTCTACCTCAAAAAAATAAAAAATTAGTAAACTGATTTAAAAACATCACAGACTGGCCACACAGTAGTGCACACCTATAATCCCAGCTACTCAGGAGGCTGAGACAGGAGGATCACAAGTTCAAAGCCACTGTGGGCAATTTAGTGAGGTCATATCTCAAAAAAATGTTTTTTAATTTTATTTTAAAGAAAAAACTCCACAAAAACCAAAATTCCAAAACAATATGATAGGAGGATAACAATGGTTAATATATTGCATATTGTTATCTTTAAATTAGTTACTCCGAGTGCAAGCTATCAGCATTTAATTGTCCTAACAATATTAGCACAAACCTATCTTTCCAATGAACTGAGAGAAATTAGTAGTGTAGTGTAACTGTCTTACCTATCTTTTATATATACAGATTTTTTTTCCTTTTGCTTTTCCCTTCTTTTATCCAGTCCCTAACCCAGTTTCTCTTTCCTTTTGAAATTTCTTCCCATTTTACAATATCTATTGTACATTTTGGATTTTATTTACTCTCAAAATTTTAAAAGGATCTAGGGACAGTACCCATAAGGTCTCAGGTTCAATCCCTAGTATAGCAAACAAAGAAAAAGAACAAACAAGAAACCCTGCACAATGCAATCAAACAAATATTGTCCCTTAACAAAACCTGAGAAAGTTAGGAAAAAGAATTCTAAAGATGCCAATACACATAGAAAGAGATGCTTTGCTCCTGGATAAAGGTGGTAGCCCTCACAAGGGATACTAGAAATATAAGAGCAAAATGTTTGCCCAACAGCTGAGAGCTAAAAGGCAATGTGAGGGAGAGACATAAACAATAGCACTAGGCCAACACCTATCTTATTAAGACACATGTATTAAGCAAACAGGTAGGGTTTGCCCAAGGAGAGTCCTAATCCTAGAGGTGACTCTCTAACGTTCTCTCAAGCTCTATGGGTAAGGAGATATGTGATGAAACACAAATCTTTGGGGCATAAAAAGACAACAGGTAACAGGTACATATTCGATAGATTTCTCAAATACTATTGTTAAAAATTTGGAAGGAAAAGTATCAGAATGTATCCCGGTAAAAACCATCCTAAGGTTTTTGCAGTCGGGGATCACTTACATCATAGCCTCTCAGCACGGCAAGGTGGAAAGCCAGCAACTGCAAGGGGATCACACTGAGAATGCCCTGCAAGCAGTCCACTGAGTGGGGTACCTTGATCGTTCTTTTTGTGTTCTTAATCGTCTCAGTATCCTCCTTATCACAAATTACAACAGGGCGCCCCTGGGAAAGAAAATCACAGACACGATCACAAGGAAGCAAATGCAGGACCACAGCAAAAAAACGCACTTGCTACAGCAAGTTCTGCACTGCACGAGCCACACAGAGCCTCACTGGGGACATACTGATCTCACCGAGGCAGTGAAGAAAACGGAGCGTTTGCAAAATTGAATGATCTTTAAAAACTCAAGTAACTAAGAAATTACGAGCTTAGTACTCGAGTTCAGGTGTTCTTAGGAAGTGGTATCGTTTGGGAGTCATACGTACAACTGACCTAAAGAAAATTCTATTAAAAACAGCGTTCGTAATACTAATGTAGAACTGTTAAGGTTTCTTCTGAAACAATTACTTAAGAATACTAAAAGGAAGCGGAATATGTTAATTTTAAAACGACAATCTGGAAAGCAAGCGTTTCAGTTTCAGTCCTGGTTTTAGTTTTGCCCATGGAAAGTCCCCGTCTTGGAGGTGACCTCCAAGTTTCAGTCTTGGCTCAATCTATTATGGGATCTATGAGCGAGGTCCTGTCAAAACTCTAAACCTCACAGACCTCAAGGGCTGTATTCCAAAGCAAATGAGTTATCAGGTATAATTGTGTTTTGTAAGTCACCTATCCGGCATTGGTCTATCATTTTAATAGTAAAATTCAAATAAGCACTAATAGCTCAACTCTTGACCCCAAGAGTGCGTCCTGACAGCCACCCCTGCTTCACCTGTCGAGCGACCACCTGCTGAAGAGCATTCTGACATTTGGCGTAAGTGTGATCTCTCATGATGATCATGATGACAGGCATCAGCTTATCCACCAAGGCTAGAGGGCCATGTTTCAATTCACCAGCAAGGATGCCTTCCGAATGCATGTAAGTAATTTCTTTGATTTTCTAATTGAAAAGAACCAGACAGAGCTTCAGAATATTTTTCAAAATTCTATCTTCAAGTAAATATTACACAAAACATCTGATATATGAAGGTGCAATTTATACAAAAGTATTAAAAGACCACTGGTCTGTAAATATAGCTAACAAGTTAGTAGATGATTATTTCTATAGTATCTATAGTATCTATAGTATCTATTTCTATAGTATCTATAGTATAATACAGTATTTGAACGTGTTAAAGCTCCACAAGCACTTCTTTAAGGTTTCAGATTACCTTGAATATTTTCACATGTCTTTGTAACTATTCTCCCACTTGCTAATTTAATCTTTCGTATTTGGACAACACACAAACCCAGGTTACTTGCTAAATACAAGTTATCATGCTAAAATGTACTGTTCTTCGTTTTTACTTTTGGATTAAGTTCTGTGGCAATACCAGTTACCACTAAGCCAGATGAGTGCTTGGAGAATCTATCCTTACCATCTTTTTCTTAATTTTGAACAAATGATTTAATCTTCATTTCCCAGGTACAAAACCAAAACACTCTCAAGGGGAAAAAAAAAAATAATGCACTAATAAGAGCACTTTAAAAATTTCCACCTGCCGGGCATGGTGGCACAGGCCTATAATCCCAGCACTCGGAAGGCTGAGGCAGGAGGATCACTGTGAGTTCAAGGCCAACCTGGACTACATAAGTGAGTTCAAGGCCAGCCTGAACTGCTTTGTGAGACCCTGTCTCAAAAAAGACCCAAAAAAAATAAAAAATTAAAAAAAATAAAAATTCCCACCTATTTCATTCATTCAGAAAGTAGGGCTGAGGCTAGGGGTGTAGCTCAGTGGTTTGCCTGCCTAGCATGTAGAAGGTTCTGCACTGAAAAATTAAAATAAAATAAATAATGACTTTGCCAGTTTATATGTCCACAGACTGAAATTATGTGAAAACAATCTGTGGTGGAGATTAGAACAAGCCTATATTAGGCAGAAAGAAATGATGAGACAAACAGGTGAGATAATTATGTGAAAACACACCAGTGCCCCTTCAAGGCAAGTAGCATAATGGTAGCCTCTTCCCATTATCAGGACTGACTTCTGATGATAAAGTTCCGTTGCCAGTTTTTGAATTTCATCATCCATGCTTAGCACTTCCTTAATCAAATCTGGTAAGAAATCAATATTAGCAAAATCTGTGAAAAGTGGATAATAAACTTAACAAACAGATGTAACAACAATAATATATTGGTAGCAACCAACAAAAGGCTACTGTTTCAAGTCTTCTGCATTATCATCAAGGGATTTAACATATGGCAGTAAAAGTAAAAAGATTTTATTGACTAAGTAGCTTCAAGAATAAGAAGAGAGCCAGGCATGATGGCACACATCTGTAATCTCAGCGCTCAAGAGGCTGAGGCAGGAGGATCATTATGAGTTTGAGGCCAGGCTAGGCTACAAAGTGAGTTCAAGGCCAGTGAAAACCTGTCTCAAAAATCAAGACAAAAAAAGAAGAGAGAGAGAATTTCACCCATTCCCAATTCCCTTCTAAAAGGACATGTAAATGTTCTCATACCAGGCAGCCGTTTCAATCCAAGCATGATCTCTTTGCGTCTCTCTTGCATGGAGATTCTGTCATCACACATCATAAGCGCAAACATCACAAGGGACACAAACTGGCTGGTGTAGGCCTGAAATGCCACAGGCAGGGTAATGAGCTACAGTTCCATCTTTAAAACTTGGAAATTTTAATTTTTAAATACAATTGGAAGACCTTAAGTACAAGGCTGGGTGGGGACTGAAAGAGGGAAGGAGGAAAGGGGACAGAGAAAGAGAGGAACAGGAAGAGAGAAATTCCCCATGTGGACAGTAGCTTTGGCCCATGCCTGTGGGCTCCAGCTGGCTTGCGACCATTCCTTTCTGACTGCATGACCTACAAATTTTGGATTTGCTCGGTAAGTTATGTTGCCCAGGCTGGTTTTGAACTCATCAGCTCAAGGGACGCTCCTGAGTAGTTCGTACAACGCACCACCACGCCTGACTACCATGCAAAGCTGGAGTCCAAAACACTGTCCATGTTTGCTGAGCATCTCTATTCTCTCTTTGAGAATAAATTTTGTTGTTCTTTATGTTTTTCAACTTGGGTTTTTGTCTTTTGGGTTTTGTTAACTGATCTTAAGAAAGCCTCTAATATTGTTTCAAGTACTATTCCTGAGTTGGATTACAATACTGTCTTATTTAATTCTTACGTACTACTTAGAAGCTTAATCAGTTAAATATTTTTAAATTCTCAGTTATGTTGCTTTGATTGTTCCATTTTATCTTTTACATTTTCCTTCAGTCGATCTGAAATTAATTTTAGTCAAAGTGTTACTGTTTTCATTTTAAATGGAGCCAGTTTTCTCCCCATTTTCTATTGGTCTATGGCATTTTCTACAGTCTGAGTCTCTGAAGTGCTAGAGTTCTGTTGAAGGACTACTGATTTTGTCTCACAGATCTATCATTTCTTTAAAATTTAAAAAAAAAAAAAAAAATCAGTCTTCCCATCCAGAAATACAACATTTTCATCAATCTGTGCTAGGAATTTAAGTCTATCAAGCAATATTGTGTTTATGCCAAAAATATTTATGGACCACCTATGTGTTTCATGATAAAGTTATTTTGACTTGGTTTTTACAGCCACTGAAAATAGAATTTCCCTCTAGCAGACACCCCCATGATTACTTTTCAAGTAGATAGATTCAGTTTATACAGATTTTGGCTTTTTTTTTTTTTTTTGGTTTTTCTCCGGTACCAGGAACTGAACTCACGACCTTGCGCTTGCCAGGCAGGCGCTTTGCCGCTGAGCTAAATCCCCAGCCCCCAGATTTTGTTTTAAATATAGCATTTACCAAATGTGTGTTTGTTAGCTTTTTGGTTTTGGGACAGGGTCTCACGAAGTAGTTCAGGCTGGCCTTAAACTTACTAGGTAGCCCAGGCTGGCCTCTAACTCAGAATGATCCTCCTACCTCAGCCTCCATGAGCACTGGAATCAAAGGTGTGCACCAACTGATTTCTTTATTTGTTCTAAGAAGTCTTTTAGCTGACATTCTTAAGCTTTACAAGTAATCAACCATAACTACAAAGAAGAATTTTGTTTCATCTTTTTCCATTGTTTTACTATCTTTTCTTATTAAACTACATGGAACTTCTAGAACGAGATACCAAATAGGTTTCATACAAAGCCAATACGCACCTTTTGGTAGTTACAGTGAAACATCACATTGACAAAGAATCTAGGACACTTTTTTACTTCTGCGTTATAGTTCCACTACACATAAAATCCTAGAAGGTTCCAGAAGAGCAGCTGAGGCTTGCTAAAATGAAGATCCTGAAGCTTTCTGTTTTGCAGTTCATTCATTTATTTTTCTCTATCACTTATTAGGTTTTCTTTTTCTAACTTTCTGAGTTCAATAATTTGCTCTTTAAAAATAGTTTTTTTGTTTTTCAGTTGTTTGAGATGGTCTCACTATGTAGAGTTCAGGCTGGTCTTGAACTCACTATCTAGTTTAGGCTGGTCTTGAATTCACATCGATCCTCCTGCCTCAGCCTTCTGAGTGCTGGGAATAAAGCTGTGCACAACCACACTAAGCCTAAAAATAAAGATTTAAGCCTATAAATTTATTTTTAATTATCACTTTGGCCACATTTTTCCCTTACTGTTGTCTTTATTTTTTCTAACATGTCCTTCTTAATCATAGTGCTGATATCTTTTTAAGCCAATGATTATTTAGAGGAACATTTTTATGTTTCACGTATTTGAAGTTTTTATTTACGTTTTTATTATTAAAGCATTAGGATTACTGTGCTATGTCATAGTATCAATAAATATACAATAAAATTATGTGTGATTTTAACTTCAGAATATACTAGTTTTTTATACTGAATTTCTATCATTCTTCATGGATCACTTCCTTAGTAAGTACTTTTCCATCATAATTTAGATAATGAGACTCCTTCAAAATAAAATGACAGTCTATAATGTTCCTTATCATCCCAACAGTTAAATGAACCTCCCTGTTTTCCCTTGCTGCTCTTCCACAACTACTGAGTCTGCCAAAAAAAAAATGCAGACATACTTCAGGAAGAGAAAAATAGTATGATTTTTTTCAACAGATGGTATTACTCTCATACGGGGGAACTTAGAGGATGTAATATGTCACAGAAGACCCACTATACTGCCGGCCCTTAAAGAAGAAATTGAAAATGCATGTGCAGTAATCTCAATGATCAAGGTTATCTAAGCAGCAGTTCGCTATACTAGTATACATCTAGAAGCTAATGGCCACTAGTCTGAGCACCTCTTGTAATTGTAAGGTAACATATTAATCTTAATTAATCAATTATTATTAATTTAATTAATAGTAAAGGGTAACATATTAATCTCATGATGTCTCAATAAATTTAGTATTAAAATATTCATACAAGCTTTTCTTTTCCTATTGTATACTATTTTTGGTGAATTCTATATTTGTCCTTGTATTCTTATAATGTTCCACTAGGAGGTTAGAATTATTTTTCCACAGCACTGAAGATTTGAAGCCTCCTGTCTCCACATCTAAGACCATCTGTATTCTAAATTCCAGTGCCCGTTGACTAAATCTTTTTTCTGTAGTTTACTTTTCAATAAACCAGTCAGGCACAAAAATATATTATAAGGACAGAGGGAATGACCTAGCAACTTGGACATCTGAGATAGCCAAAGTGATCAAGTATGTCATATTCCAGTTCTTCCAGCCTATCACTAAAAATGTTCTACAAGCTAGAGTTTCTTTGAATGGAAAACATTTCAACAATGGTCTTCAAGTGTAAGTATTAGACAATAACTTCAAACTACACAATTTTTTCCATCGCTCTGTTATTATTGCTTAATTTCCAATTTCAGTAACACATTTTCCTTTTTTTTTTCTCCTCTGTTTTCAAGGCTGTGAACTGAATCCAGGACCATACATATCCTAAGCAAGTACTCTCTACTGAACTACACTAGCCCTTATATTTCCCATTTCATCAACACATACCAAGAAACCAACTAGGAGAAAAATAAGCTATATCCTGCACTATAACCTATGACATTTAAAAGAATTTTCCAGGAAAATGTTGACTCTGAACTTTTAAATTTGGTTATTCTTTTTATTCAGTCAAAAACAAAGTTACAAGGGTATATTTTTTAAAAGTCAACTAAGTCAGCACTGTGGTGAAAATTTAAACACCTGCAATAAAGTATGAAAATTTAGCCGGGCGTGGTGGCGCATGCCTGTAATCCCAGCACTCGAGAGGCTGAGGCAGGAGGACCGTTAC